TGCTTTTTCTACTCAATTTATGGATGGAAGATCGTTCCATTCTCTACAGATGAATTAAAAAATTGGATATATCTTTGAAACCGTCATTTGACTACCGTGTTTATATAAAAAGTATTATTTGATATTCATCTTATACTTACGCGACTAATTGGTAGAAAAACATTAATGACCTTAATTATACCATGATAATTTTTATCTAGTAAATTAATTGGGATTTTGAAATCTGTAATATATACATGTGTGTGTACGTGTAATTTTACACGGTTATTCGCCGTCGATGGAAAGCAAAATTAATTAAGTGCTACTTATCGCGATCCATTTAATATTAAACTATCATTTGATAGAAAAGTGGACAATTTTTCTTCGAAATACGATTTGTTTCGAAGATAAAAAGGGATAGATAGAAAATATTATATACAGTTATACAAATTTCTGTTTCTAGATATATATATATATATATATAAATTTATCGTTTATTCGTCAAAAAACCGTTTATTCGAATGGATTGATCGTAAGTGTATACAATAAGATAAACTTCGAACATCGGTTAATTATTGTATTTGTACTTACCAATTCTGATTGCTAAATCGAGAGAAAAAGGACGAAATTTTATCCACAACCATAGAATTCTTGTCCAAGTAAGAAAATCTTCCATAAAACTATAAAAGTTTCCACGAAATCACGATATTTTTTCCGATTTTTGACACTCTCGAACTACACGATGTACGCACATTCGCATTTCAAACTATTAAACGAGAATCGTAAGCGCGATTCGATAATCGCAAGTAGTAGAACTCGCCCGCCGTTTTAGCGCGAAATTCAAACGAACGAAAGCATAGCTGAATCGCCGTAGAAAGTAGTAGGCTTGTTGCAACTTGTTGAACGGCGATTGACGAAGCATGTGATAATTGATTTCGATATTCATGATATGTAAATGTTAAGGCATCTCAGGATAACGCGTGTAATCACTTTTCGAGTTTAATACGAACAACATATGACAAATTTTTTGCTCCGCATACGATAGAATGTTCGATAAGCACATGTGACCAAAATTAACCGTAAAGAGGCACTTTCCATAGCAGAGAGTATTACAACTACGTAAGTAATATTTGTAACTACACGCATAATATTTAAAAAAAAAGAGTTACATTTTTTGCAATTTGATACGATAAAATAAAAATATAAATAAAATTAATAATTAAACGGCGAGTTAAATCACATCGTAGTAATTTTAATGATAAATGATTTTATTTAATAGGATGCACATTGACTAGCATCAAAATTGAATGTTACAATTTGAAAGTGTCTCTTACAACGAACTACTCTAGCCTTCAACGTTTGTAAAATTCATCGATCTATAGTTTTAATAGTGGCAGATCTAGGCTTTAAGATAATCGACGAAAAATATGTGAATAAACATTGATTACATAAGTTCGAATAATCGAATCGTGTTTAGGGATAAACACGAATCGAAATTTACTTCAAGTTACAAATCGAATAAAACATTTCGATTAAAAGAATAATATAAAAATTTGGCTATCGCGAAATTATATGCCAAGAGTACATTTTCAGATTATTGCTTGATATTGATGCGAATACATGCGATAATTCGTAATTAAAATCACGAGATGTAACACAATTCTCATTGCCGTACAATATTTAAGAACAAAAACATACCCATGCCGTCTCAAAAAGTGCTCTTCTAAATAAAAAATTGTTTAATATACGGCGAATTGTCCATTATTGCGATAATTGAGAACATGTTTATATGCGATACGTACACGCATATTCGTTTGCGTAAGAAGCCTGTAATTATATACTGCTACGTATGTAACTATTATTATAATTATTATTAACGACGATATACAATTCATTCTTGTAAAAACCAAAAAAAAAAAAAAAAAAAAAAAAAAAACAAAACGTTATGATTATCGTACAATAAACGTTAACACAAAAAAAATTTATTTCGTCAAAGTATTTGCAATTTTTGATTAAATTTTCACGTATAATAAAAATTACGACAAGGAAAAGTAAAATACTGAAATGTTTTGATTTCAATGTATTTTTCTAAAACGTGGGATAGTATTAATAAAAGTATAAGATACAGATACGAGTGAGATAATAATAACAAAAACAGATTAAAATCTTTATCATAAGAAAACAATTATTATGCACGAAGTTACCGATACATTATTGGCATAATATATAATCGAATATGACATTAATATATCGGTTTACTCTTTATACATTTCGTTTTTTTTTTTTCCTCATTTTTACAAACATCAACAGGAAAGGGAATAGGAACCTTTCTTTTATACTTGTGCCCATTTTGCTTGCCACATTAAACAATAAAGTGTCTTTACATAACTATAATAATGTATATTTGTTTCGTTTTGCAAACACTTGGTTTTTGTGAACAGAAATAATATATAGGACTCTTCATTTAGTCGGACTAGCAATATCGGCAAAACATCGTATCAGGCTAGTTCTCAACAACTTGTACGATCAGTGAATTGCAGTGGCTTTTCTTTTCTTAATAAAGCTAATTTTGCACGTAACCACTTTGTGTGTAATAGACTCGATAATAAAGCGTTTTACTTCGCCAAAGTGAATATGAATTATCAAATTTAAGAAGATATACACCCTGTAACGAATAAATATATAATAATAATAATAATAATAATAATACGGTGATATTATATTTCAGATGTATCAGCATCAGATGTATGATACAAATATTTACAAATATTTACAAATATTTACAAATATTTAAATGTTTTTGAAAGATATTATTTACCTGTCCTGGATATCTATGACTTCCTGCATAGATTTCATCTTGCGAATCTCTCCTAAAAGTCTGTAAAAACATTATACATAGGAGCATAAAAATACTATTAATATAGATATAGTTATATTTCTCTTTTGTCTTATTATAACAGGTACAATTAGAATTAGGAGAGAAGCTAGTGATGCATGATACACTTACAGGTACTACCATACTTGTAGGTGGTGGTGATGGTTTATAATCAGATGGAATTGAACCATTTGCTATTCCACTTTCTAAATCATCTCTTGTTTCATAATCATCATCCTCCTCATCCTCATCCTCAGATTCGCTAATATGTACCGATACTTGATTGGTTTCCGGTTTTGACCATTCAAAGAACACTCCAAAACCAATGTCATAATTATCTGTTGCAAATTCCCAAAACAAATAAGAGCCATCTTCGTGTGTTGGTACTCTAACTGTTACTGTTTCTCCATGTCCAACTTTAATAACTGCATCGCTATCTTCTCTCCTAATAGTATTTTTAAATTCTTCTACACCCCCTCTAGTCCACATTTCTGGTGGAGCTATAGGTGGATAATCTTGCAAGTCATCAGAATCTTCCTCATTTAATTGAGCTGTTTCGCTTGTTTCTTTCTGTTCTTCCTTATCAGCATTTTCTATAGTGGCAGTGGTCATTTCTGGGGTTTGATCTTCTATGAGTAACTGGTTCTGACGCAATTGTTGCATATATTGATGATAATGTTGTTCTTGTAACTGCCTTATTAGTACACCTTGTTGTTCTGGATTTCCAGGATATTGTTGTTCTGCATACATTTTAAACTGATAATACGTTTGTTGATTTAAGGCTTCTTGAATTTGTCTCCTCTGAATTTCTTCCTTTAATCTAGCTTCTTCCTCTTTCTTTTTTTGTTCATTTAATTCTTGTAATCTTCTTTCTTCTTCTAATTTTTTTGCTTCTTCCTCTTTCTTCAGTCGTAATTTCTCCTCAATATCTCTTTTTTGTGCTTCTACAACCGTTCTAAATAATGGGCATAATTTATCTAACAAAACTATAAATCCTTCCATTGCTTGTTCCTTAGATATATCTCCTAGATTTTGCCATGCCAAGCGTCTATCCTTTCCAATTACATCCAACACACCCAAAGGTGGTGCATTTTCTGCAGTACACTTCCCATGTGTTACTTGCTGAGTAAAAGCCACTAGTTTTAATTTGTCTTCATAAGACAAATGGACAGCTTTACCATCCTTCTCTATAATTATTATATAATTCACATAAAGTTATATCAATATTAAAATAATTAATTTTTTTCTACTTATTACTTGCAATCAATAAAAAGAAAATACAAATACACAAAATCAACACAGTTGATCATTAATAAAATTCTCATGTATTCAATGTACTTTAATGTATTGGCAATCATATCATATAACAATGTAATAACGCGTATAAATAGGGACATGTCATTTTTTTGATATTAATTTTAAAGAAATGAATAACGAAACTATTCTAATAAACTGTCAATGTAATTGATTTACCTTTGTAGAAATTAACTGCAATTTTGTATAATTCTTTAGTTTCGAAACCCCATAGTCGAGGTACCAGCTTCTTTCCATTTTCGCTATCATCCTCGTTTTTCGTTAATTCCTCTCCTGATATCGTCAATTTCTCGATTTTCTTTCCTATTGAGAAAATGTCACCATTGGTGCCCGCCATTTGCAATTGCACTGACACGTCAAATACTGTTGTTAGAACTGCCCTAACCTTCTATTTTTGACAGTACACCGCAATGGAAACATTTCTAAAATTTTTGGGAAAATCATGCAACGAGAAAAGTACTGTACTTGCAAATATATCATCATGCGATACTATTTTTACAATACAACATTTATACATACAATATTAATAATTCAAATTCTTACGTAGATCAATTGTCGTATCTTAAGATATGTCAAATTATACTGACTAGAAATTAGAATAGAAGATAGAATGATTTTTAAAAATAGATTTTTTTTCGTAATATTAGTAGAAAAAATTCGAATTAAAGTAGATTGTTCACAGAATTCATTTTTAAATTGTTGACTTTCTTAATATCCAATTTTTAATTCGAAACAAAATTCTTAAATTTTCGCGGTTAATTCAAATTAATTTAATCGCGATTAATTTCAATGATTTGAAATATATTTTATCCTCCCTTACTATCAAATTGAAAAAGTCTTAAAATTTTTAATATTCTAAAATTTAAAAAAAAAGGAAGATAATCTTTTTTACAGATAAAATATCTCACGAATTAATTTTTATTTAATGTCCTTTTTTTACGATTTTTCTTAAAATAAAATTTCATAATATCATAATAATGTTATGGATAAAAAAAGCTTTCAATTTAAAAAAATTAATTTGACCTTCAAGTTTCTCTCACTATTTCACCTACGTAAAAATTAATGAACGTATATATTCCGTTATACTCTGTCCTCATTCACCGGTCGATGGTTCAATTAAAATCCACCAACGATGCTCCTAGTTCCATTCCCTATCTGCAGATGTCTCTGAATTCGGGAGCAACACGTTTAGTCGGCGACTGAGTGTCGCGAGTGTAGTTCGTTGATGTAGTGAGTTGGTTATCTTTCAGCATACGAAGCGTAATGTAGAGGCGCGGGAGAGGCAAAAGCGTACGGACGCTTTCGATTCCGTGGGAGATCTCGTCAGACCTGGCGGACAGATGCGTGCGAGGCGAAGTACACTTCAGCGGCTTCAGTGTGCCACTGATTGTGAGTAGCAAAGCTTAGTGAGCGCGCGCGCGCGTGCGAGCGGCAAATTGTGTGGATCTTTTTCGTGTTTTTTTCGACATGGCAGGGATATACCGTTATCCATGAACGTTTCTCCATCTCAATGCCTCCCCTAAAGGTGTACACATCGAAGGGTATTCCCTAAACACTGAACTGAGATCGATCAAGAGGGGAACCGGTACATGGAAGTTTCCTCGTAGGGAGAACAACGCGGATACAGCAAGCGGAGAAGCGATCCTGCAGAGCAAGGTTAGGTGAGTACTCTCACGATCCGGCATTGTTTTAATCGCGTGGTACGCCGCGTTTTACGCGTTCCTCCCGCTGCATCGATTTTCGACCTCGTACACCAGCCAGATTTTTGTCCTGTCAACCCCTACTCGATCCGTTTTTATAGTTTGTTGTGTTTTGTCGCACTATGGTCAAACGTTTGTCCGTGCGACGTACATATACTTACAAAAACGTAATATATTTACATGCCATACCACAAGTATATTGACACTTAGGTGTGTACACTTTGAGGGACACAGGTGAATGGAAAGGACTCTCTAGTATGCTGTGCGAGAAATTCTCGAGAAAACGTGACGTGATGGTTCAGTGGGACGCGATCGCTTCGAAGGAAGAATTGATCGACTCGCATTGCAGTCGCTGTCGCCACTGACACTTTAATAAATCTGCGGACCTTTAAAGGTTTAAAGGCTTGACGCTAATCGATGTTTAAATGCAACGTGATTACCGCTAATCTGTTTAGAGTATTGCAGAAGATTCGAATGAAATCTTGATATACGCGTATAAACGTGCTTCTTGTATCTTTTTACACTGTGTATTATTTTACACCATTTCAAAGGCATTTAACCTTTTGTTTCAATCTCTTATTAATTGCTCATTTTTCCACACCAAACGAGGTGTGGAAAATACAGAATTCACAAAACGGTTGTTAAACTCGTTGTCTTCGTTTTTTCCCCTCTTTAATCTTTTTTTTTTTTTTATCTCGTTAACATTTTGTATTAGAATAAAAATTGCGGATTCCGTTTTTAATTATCTCGCAAATTTTTAATACCAATTTTCTCGTTCCATGTTTCTTCATCTGTATGTATCATTAGGCTGCGTTTTTAATTATTTTCTTTTAACCTCTGTAGAGAGCAACGAAGACCGAATCTCGAAATTTTTACCTCTTTTACTTAATACGAATAAATTTATTCGAAAAAAAAGTTGACTAATATTTTTCGAGTTAATGACAAAAAAGAACGAGGGGAGGAAGGGGGAAGGATACGAAGCATCAGAAACTCGTTACTTCCATCTAGTCACTGGTTTTTCGTTTTCCTAAAAACGATTCCATTGTATTTCACATTGAAATACGCGTCCTTTGTTAATATTTACGAGACAGGTAATTACGTCGGATCGGCCGAATTTCATTTGGCTCGGATTAATATTACCACGCCTGCGTTGAAATTAGAATTTTGCGTTTCGATATTCAATGTATTCGATCTGCTCGATTTTTACTCCTACGAAAAACGAAATTGTGGAGGGAAGAAAATTAAAAAGAAGAAGAAAAAAAAAAAGATATTTGTATATTTTTAAAAATTTATAAAAATCGTTCAAACATTTTTGAAAAAATGTAAGAATAAAAATGAGGCTTCGTTTGGAATAATTTAAAAAATTAAATTAATTATTTTTAAACTCTGCCGAGGAGTAGAATTGGACTTTGGGAGAGAAGATAAGAAAAAAGAAAAAAAACTTGTCGAGACACGTTTATTTAATAATTCTGACGTCGATACAACAAACTGACGTTCGTTTTTTTTTCGATGCTTTCGTTATTATTATTTAATTAATAAACTCATAACACGACACCGACAAGTGATAGTTAATTCAATTTAGACGTGGTAGACAAAATCTAGGTTAGTTCCAGATTAGAATTAAATTAAAATTAAATTAAACCACCGAACCAAGGAGGAAACTTGTTGTGACGTTTTGTTAAGAAATTTTGCCGCTAAAGAAAATTTTGCCACTTTACAAGAATAATTTTATCGGTATACATTTCATCATCGATTATTATTGGCATCTTCTTTAACGGCAATAAAATTGAAATTAAAATTCCATCCATATTTCTTTTCCGTCTCGAATATTAAAAGCTGTGAAACAAGGTATTTAAAATAATCGACGAATACCTTTTAATATCTTAAATGCCAATCCATATATTATATTTAATATTATGTAATATATCCCCCTCGATACAAGGAATGATAGAAGTTTGCAATTTGCAAGCTTTTCGCCGGTATATCTATATTTAGCCGAGGGCGTATTTCATAACCAGGTCCTCAACTTTTGTAGGGCAAGCATCAGAATATACCTATAGCTCGGTCCGTTTAATCGAGTTTGATCTCCCTGGCCGGTCATCTTCCATTTACCAACTAACGCGCCACGATTATCTACGAATTTATCTTTCTTTTCTTCTTCTTCTTTTTTTTTTTTCTTCTTCAAACGAAATTTTCTCCTCTCTATTTTATCTATTATCGGTAAAGACAAAATTTCGAATTTCGTACTTTTCCTCGTCTGTCGAATCTTTGAAACTGAAAAAATTTTATTTCTCTGCATCGCGTTTGGATAATCACATTTTCCTTTTTTTTTTGCCATTTCTCGATTAAAGTTTGGAATAACAGGTTAAAAAAGAATAAAAGATTCTATCTAAAGTTCTCATAGTGGACATTGTATCGGCAGTCCAAGTCCTTTCACATTGTTCGGGATACACGTACGTATGTACAGGGGAAACTAGGCCAGGCCGGACTTCCTTTCTCGTTGAATTCTCGGAGAAAATTCGCGGAGGGAAAATGATATAATGTATATAGCTTCTTACGAATCTATCTTATCTGGAAAAATCTCTTCGAGAAAATGGAATCTCTTTGTTACGAAAACTCGTAGCCAAACAATGTGTCTTGATGGATTCGAGTCGCATTTCATTTAAGATAATTTTCACGCAGAATATACGATATTATCTATCGAGTTAAAATAGCACATCCTGTTGAAATTATCAATTTTAGGAATGAAATAATATTCCCGGAAACAGATAATCGTAGAATTTTCCTCGTTTCGAATAATATTAATAACAACAAACGTCTCCGATCGATCATCGTTTTTTTGCGGAAAAATTCGGAACGGCGAGAAGAAAGGAAGGAAGGAAGGATATAGAAGGAGGGCGATTATAAAGGTTGAAAAGAGGCGACGACACGTAACTGTTGTCGGCCACCCACGCGATGTAGATCCACGCACAAGGAAGCTGGCCGTGCGATGAGTTGCACAATTTAATAACGCCGTTCAAGGTTTCGGGGCCAATGAAATCGAGCGCGATATCGGAAGAACGTACTTGGCCGAATTTACCGAACAAAGCGTGTTTCCACGATAAAGTGTCTCGCGCAGAAAACTTGGTTAACAGCTAGAGGATAGTAAGCTTTGTTTATTGCACGAACTTCGATCGATTTATTTCTCTTCTCTCCCTTTCTTTCTTTTTTAGGACGAACCAATTTATTCGTGACGCCGTATTTATGGGATACATCCGAAAGAAAGTGAGGAACGGTAGATATTTTATTTTATCGTGAACGCATACAGATAATCGTAAGGAAAAAGAAGTTCGTTAGAAATCGATTGAAATTAATCGACGACGACCGTATTTTTCGAATCTTTTGTATTTGATTACATAACTGTTAATTGCATCTGTTAATAACGATGTTTTCTTTCTCTCTCTCTCTCTCTCTCTCTCTCTCTCTTTGTTTATCCTCGTGTTTATGAAATCGATCCGAAAGAAAGTGAGAAACGGCGGATTATTTAAATCGTGAAGGAAACAAAAAAATGAGAAGAAGAAGATACGATAATTCGATTAAAATGACGACAATATTATTCGAATCCTCGAATCAAGTATCGATTTATAAGGCATTCATTCAATTAACAACGATTGTCTTTTTTTTTTAAATTATACTCGGTCTCAATGTTGCCCAATTGTATATATATGTAAGGGTTTTAAAGTTTATCGTTATTTTGATAAATTTATGGGAAAAAGAAATCGTTTGACGAGGATTTAACGGCCGTAAAATCGCTCGCTTTTTATTTTATTGTCCAATAATTACTCTATCAATATTTCTTTCCGTGTTTTCGTTTTTTTTTCCTTTTTTTTTTTTTTTTTTTTTTTTTGAAATTCAATGGCATCCAAATCGTTCGTTTTTGTGTTCGGTTTCATCATTTTTCACGATCATTTAGAATTATTCGTTTCGTAATTCGTTAAACTTTAAACGTTTAATCAAAAAAACTTCGTACGCGAAACTTGAAACGGACGATTAATAACAAGTTTGCTGCCAATCTTCGAGACTTTATTATTACGTGGTATGCGTGCAATTAGTTTTATATATTGGCTATAGTTATCGTATCGTTTTCTTTTCTTTTTTTTTTTTTTTTTTTTTTCAGAATTATTAATCCACGATTTCGATATAAGCAAATTTGTTGAATTTGTCCTCCTTATTATTTCACGAGAATTTCATATCAACTTGTAATTTATCGTCACGTGTATCCTTCCTTCCTTACAAACTTTCGAATCGGACTTTTGAATTGAAATTTCATTCTATTTAAAGAATCGTTCAATTAAAGGACGGATAAATAGCTTTATCTTTATAGCAATTTATCATTCGAGTAGAACGGTTGGATTTTATCTTGCTTTGGAGGAGGGAAGAGAAAAAATTCGAACGAAATGTGTTAATTAATCACGATTTATATTCTAAAACTTGAAAACAAACGAGCCAACAATTGTCATATAGATATAAGATATAATAGGATTAAAGATAAAATAACTTTTTATCCTGAGAATGAAAAAACGTCTCTTAAAAATTCGTATCCCTGTTATTGGATTAAAAAAAAAGGAAAAAATTAAATGGCGTTTGTTTCGGTAATAATAATATAATAATTACAACAGCGATGCTCTTCTTTAGCCGCTTTCACCGCTTTCGAGGACATACGCGCGACGAGGAAGCGACTCGAGACGATCTTGGCTCGCCTCAGTCATTGTCTTTTCCGCCGTGGTTCGGTTATTTGTTCGAGCAACTCGCCTATCTGAACCGAAATGGAACGAGTTCCTTATCCGAGTCGCGAGTGTATGAACGTAAAAAAATTAATTCCTCCTTTTTCTTTTCTTTTTTTAATTACAATTACAAAATAAAACTCGAGAAGTATTGATTTATAATTTAAAACCGCTCCGTCTTGCCTCTCCGTGAAACGAAACGAACGTTACTCTCGAATCTTTCGATCGCCACCAATTTTATTAAGACTGTGCAAAAACGAGTTAAAAGGAAAACTTGGGGATTCGTGCGCGCGCCGTGAAAGCAACTTGGACGAGCGAGTGAAGCGCGAGTAGCGCCAACTGGGGACTAGTGGAAGAGTTCCTTCAACCGAAAATATCCTATTAACCCATAGGTTAGGAAAAGGGAGAGGAAGACTTTGAAAAACGAAAGCTGGTCTTCTCCCGCGTTGTAAAACACGCGATTATCCTGTCGTGGAACGGTGTCGACGAGCGGATAATAAAAAATCGGTGCCACTGTTAAAACAAGGCCAATTAATCGAAACATATACACATACAATGTTCCCGTTTAGAATAACGTCAGAATTTAAAACGAGCGAGCACGAGTCACGAGTTTCGCTTCTTATCGAGTATTCTTCCAGTCAACAGGTTGCTCTCGCACGATCATTAAAAATCCAAGGTACGTTATACGTCGATGTTATTGTTAAATTTGGGGCTGATCGTTCGATAGGATATTCGAGGAGGGGAATGGGAAGGGGAGGGAGGAGGGGAGGAAGAGGGACAACGTCTCATCGATTTCTCGATGCTTGTCGATTAAAAAAAAAAACTTGCTTTGAACGGGCGTGAAATGATATTTTATTATCGGCGGAAATCGTCGAATCACGAGGGTCGTCTCCACTCCTTCCTCTTCTTCTTTTTCTTCTTCTTCTTTCGCAGCTCGAGGCGATGGAAAAATGAAAATCGCGAAACTTTTTTTTTTTATCTCTTATCTCCTTTCCAACTTTCGAACGAAAAATAGTTTTCGTCGATTATCATATCCGAACGATAACCGAAAAGCGAAATTAAAACAAACAACGATAAGGTTATCGTAATGTAGAAATCGTGTTGAACGCGTATATTATCAAATATTTTATTGGTTAGTTACGTCACCTTACGTGTTATGTTACATAAATTATTATTAATTAGTTATATTAAATTAATTGATGTAATAAATGGAAAGAGTTTTTTTTATTCATGGAAAAAAATATCCGTGGTTTACGATAAGAGGAATTGATAAGAGCGAACTAAGGATAAAGCTTCGAGATAACGCTTCCTTTTGATGTTGAGCATCAATGATTTCTTTTGTATTTCTGCTATTTTTTTCAAATAATTGAAATTGAAAAAATATGATATTTATCTAATGTCGATATCTAGAAGATATACAAAAAAAAAAAAATATTATTATCACACGCGATACGAATAAATAAATAAATATATTCAATATTTTATCGTTCAATGACACTTAGAAATCATCAGTAAATTTTTACTACAAAGGCTAATTAGTTTTATGCTAATTGAAATTGTGAATACTCGATAACGATGTTTATCTTTTATCAGTTCCTCCTTTTCCAAAATGAAACACGTTAAATAATTCGCCGACGATAAGCAAAGTGTAATACACTCATTATCATTCATTGCTTATCATTGAAATTAATATTACGCGTAATATTCATTTTAGATTTGTAATTGTTTTGTCTGAATACCGATTCTCCCCTCTCTCCTCTTCCTCTTTTTTGCCTCTTCTTACGTAACCGAAAAAAACTCGAAAGGAAGTAGTAGATAACGTATGAAATTGTCTCGTCCCTTTTGTTTCCATCAAACGAACACTTGTTTTGTAACACACTTGTTGTCATTAAGATATCCGATAATTAATCAAAAGTTCGCTTTATTATCTCTCTCTTTCTTTCTCTCTCTCTCTCTCTCTGTTCTCTCTCTTGGAGAATAAAGATTTGTTACAATTAATTTGCAAACAGCCTCAAGGATAAACTACTCGAATCGAGCCGAGTAAAATCGATGCGTAGCATTTCTCCAAGAAGAATTGAAAATCAAATCGTTCTATTACCTTTTCCGCTTCAACTCGATCGAAACCTCTTTTCTTTTCTCCCGTACACGAAAAATTTCCTCTTTCGATCGATCTCATTCGATCCGGAGAAAAAATTGTCTTCCATCGTCGATAGCGATTCAACGATGGGAAAATATTTGTTCGTTGCGCGCGCACGTTTCGAGTTGAAGAAGTCGAATCGCGTCGAGCGACGCGTAGACGAATTCGCGACACTCGATCAGCTCCGCGAAACGAGCCATAAACGAAGTCGTAATTCGTGGCCGCCTAAAGTGGTCTTTAAGCTGATCAACGATATGATTGAGGACCACTAAAGTGGCCTTCGCCATAAGGCTAAGGAAGGATAAGACGATCGATTTCTTCAGCCGACTTCACGCATTACGAACCGACGGCACACGGTTTTTAACGAACAATTCGGATTTACTAGAATCCTCCCACCATTCCCTGGAGCGAATAATATAATTCCATAATATAATTCTTTCCCCCCTTTATTTACGCGAATTTACACGATCGATTATTCGCTCGTGAAACAATCGTTCAAGCTTTGTATATTTTTAGGATCAATTCTGCGGATCTTTAGAAGAAGATTAGCGAGCGATAACACTCGCGTATAATATTATTATTCCCTCGGTGTTTATTCAGACTAGGTTATACACATTTATTATTACGTTACACGAGATTTGAAAATAATCTATATCTAACGAGACGAGGATAAATCCACGAGGATATTTCTTCGTTTCGTGCCCACGTTTTTCTTTGTTCGCCCACTCACGATAGATTCGAATCGAAGGAATCCAGAATCTTGTTCCTTCTAAAGAACAAGAGCGTCTTCTAAGATTAAAAGAGTAGCATCGAAAGCACACGAGCACGCATTCTCTCTCTCTCTCTCTCTCTCTCTACTAACTACGGGAATAGGTAAATAATTTTTTCCTAATCTCACGTTAATTAAGTAAAGCTACGATTTCCATCTTCTTTCTTTCCATCTCCTTGTCCCTTCACTCTTTATTTCAAACTTCTCCGAGTTTGGAAAGACTCGACGCTAAGGAACACAATCGTGAAATTGTTGAGGATCAGAGGCGTGTCCGGACGCGTGTTCGTTACACGTAACCAGTCGCGTCCAACTTCAAGGCGGCCTCGTAAGAAGGCAATCCCTCGTCCAAGGCTTGTTGCTGTTCGAGGCTAGCCTCGTCGCGCCCCACGCCCGATCTCGCGCTCTCGCTCAGCCCAAACAACGTGGACACCATCGAGGGAATGATGACACCGGGCGTCTCCCCCCCCTTCTTCTCCATCGAGATGGCCAGGCTTTTTCTATCGAAGATCAGGCTGTCGTAAGTTGGAGGTGGGCCCGGCCCGGAAATCGGTGTCACGGGGCAGGACAAAGCGTCGTAGCCGTTCTCGTCCTGGTTTCCCTCGCTCGTCGCCGATTGTTGTTGTTGTTGTTGTTGTTGCCTCTCGCAGCACTGGAAAAAAAAGGAAAAGGAGATTTTTTTTTCAAAAACGAAGATTTTTTTTTTCAATGAATTTATAATTCAAATTAATTCGAATTTCCTGATCGTGATATTTTTTCTTTTTTCAACAGTATGCGTGGAATGTTTTTTTAAATTGTAACGGATCGTTAATAATTTATAAAGCGGTCGAGAAGTAAACAATTTATTTTTTAATAATTTATAATTTAAATTGAATCGAAGAATTTTTTTTTTAACGATAGCATGCATGGAATGTTTTTTAAATTGTAACGGATCGTTAATAATTTATAAAGCGGTAACGATAAATAATTTATTTTTTAATAAATTTATAATTTAAATTAATTCGATTTTTTTTTTTTTGTAACGACGGTAATATGCATGGAGTATTTTAAATTGTAACGGATCGTTAATAATTTATAAAGCGGTCGAGAAGTAAATAATTTTCTCGCTTCGCAATACACGCTCGATCAAATTCCACATTTTCAATCGCGGTTAATCCTGAGAATTCAATTGATTTACGAGAGAACGATAAGGAAGAACGATCGGTTTTAAAATCGGTTTTATCGTTCGATCTGCCCGGACGGACGGCATGTTGCACGAATTATTAATTATTCGCGTATATCGATTATATAAGCTTTGATACAATGGTTGACTCATCTGGACATTAATTACGCGCTAGCCTAGACTAGCTAATTAGCATCCCACCGTACGATTATTTCCCTCGAATCGTAGTTATTTCTCGCGCAGTACGCTACGTCATTGCCAATTTTCCAATATTTTTAGATCGGACAGCCTCGGCAACACCGCGATCTCTACGAATTCTACGAAACCTAGAAAACCAGTATTCGTTTAACTAGTTAAAAAAAAAGTTGAAGAAAAAGTAACTGGTTAAAGTTTCAATTAAAATTACTAAATTCGAAGTAAGAATGATCAACGTCGAATTAGACTATTCAAAGTTACTCGAAAGACGAGTTATTCGAGTATATTCAACTTTAGACATCAAAGACATCGAATAAATAAGAAATTTTATTCATTTTTTTCACAAATAATAAATAAATCCAATATTTTAGAAAAACACTTTTATTCGCGTGTGATTAATTACATCGCGAAGTGAAAAATCCAAAAATCCATGCGTTTCGAAAAAACAAAGAAAATCGGCTCGGTCGATAGGGAAGCGAAAGAAACGATTTCACCGAACGATTGGCGCAGTTGCGAGCGAAATCCACGCATAATAATAACAATAATATCCGATATTTTAGAAAAACTTATTCGTTCGTTCGCGTGTAATTAATTACATCGCGAAATGAAAAATCCAAAAATCCATGCGTTTCGAAAAAACAAAGAAAATCGGCTCAGTCGATAGGGAAGCGGAAAAAACGATTTCACCGATTGGCGTAATTGCGCATAATAATAACACCCAATATTTTAAAAAAACTTGTTCATTCATTCGCGTGTAATTAATTACATCGTGAAGGGAGAAATCCAAAAATTCGCGCGTTTCGAAAAAAAAAAAAATTAAAGATTGGCTCAGTCGATAGGGAAGCGAAAAAAACGATTCCACCGCTTATGCGATTGGCGCGTAATAATACGTTGGTCGAGCGTGTATTTTAGGGCCGATCGAAACGAACGCAGCCCCTCTCGTCCCCGCTCATGGAACAGGGCCATTTCGTGGTTCCGCCATTTTAATTTTTGGCCCGGTTGGAAAGCGCGGATAAGCTATTGTTTCGAGGCCGGGCAGATATGGCCGCCGCCTAAATCCACCTCGATCTGATCGGACCACGGAAAGTTCGGTTCGCTATGCGTGCTATTTTAACCGAGCCCTTACATAACGCGCGCCGTACAGTTGGCGTACAGACCGACTGTAATAACACGCCACACGATCGCGTATTTAATAACTCCACGCGACGGCCATTTTTCTCCAACTTGGCCTCTTATCATCGTCCTATAACCCCCTCCTCTTTTCTCTTCCTGCCTGGAGAGAATTCGCGAATCATTGCAAGCAAATTATTTCTTTACTCGACGTGACTCGCGATGTCACTGTTATTAAGTAAAAATAACGTATGTGCTAATGGATTCTCCTCTCCTTTATTGGAAACTCCTATTGGAATACGTTGGATCGCGATATTTTAAGAGAGGAAACCAAGGCCTTGCTGGTTGTAGTGGCGAAAAGTGTTTTTGGAGAAGTAATATCTGGATGGGTTGAGTTTGAATTTATGCAAGTTTCTCGCGCGAAAGCGGTAAAATAAATCTTGGAAGGGTTAATTTTATCCCTCGGCCAACGATATTTCCCCAGATCTCTTTTCGATCCCTTTTCGCACCCGACGATTCAATTCGATTCCTTTTTTTCGAAATGAAAAGTGAATGGAAATACTCACGGCGGCGTGCGCTTCCGTGGTGAACACCTCGAGGCTGTGCACGTCCGGTTCCGTTCTCCAGTATTGCGGGTACTCTTGCGGCCGATTCTTTCGAATACTCTTGTGACAGCAGTAGCACATGAGCAGAACGACCATAATCACCCCGCTGAGCATCGCCCTGCAAGAACACGGGCCGCGTACCGTGAGTCGGAATACATCAGATAGGAGAGGGAAATAGGGACCATCGAGCGTATATTTAGCGCGCCTTTAACCTTTTCCCGCCATGCTCGAAACCGTCTCGTTAGCTTTAACAACTTCACAGCTATAACCTTGGAGTAGTCGAAACAAGGATCAATGGAAATTTTTTCCAAGACTCTTTCTCTCTTTCGCGTTGAAAATGAAAAATTCGATTAAACGAACTGCTCTATTATAGGCGACAGAAACACTGTCCTCGTTACAATGGTACGCCCGTCGGGAGAGCGAGGATTCTTCCTGGAAACGTGAGTAATAAAAGAGCACCGCTGAAAAGATTAAAACTTAACCTATTAACTCTTGCAAAAACCGGTGTCTAACTCACGATCATCGTTTCTTTTCTTTTCTTTCCTTTTTACGATGTGTGTTGCGATAACATTATTGCTTTCACTCCCGTCCCTCGAATATCGAATACTTGGAAATTGTTCGAGAAAGAATCCGCGATTTCCACGACCGCCAATTCTTTACGATGACGAACCGCGTCAAGGGATCACGGTTACCGTAATAACACGTTATTAACGAACCGTTCCACGTCCTCCTTATTTATTCTCGTCCAATTTTCCATTCCCGTTTTACTCTTTGCCGAACTCGCTGTAAAAAAATTCGATACAAAGGAACACTTTGTTCTTCGAATCGAATTCGAAAGAAATAATAATTAATTTCTCTCTTTTCTCCGTTTGTTGGAGAAAAAAAGAAAAGTTTAAAAAAGTTTCTCGCTGCTGGTAATCGAGTTTGAGAAACACTGATCCGAGGTGGTTCACTCGGTAAACACGGCGTAGCGTGGAAAGGAGGCTAAGGAGTGTTCTCGCCGGATGTTATCTTTTCTTTACCTTGTCGGGAACAGCGGTGAGGAAAGTTTCGTAGTTTTAATCGCGCAGAGGGCGCTGCGGGCGTCCGTTAACACCCCGATTCGGGGAAGCAGTAACTCGCGTGCAAACTCTTTCTTCTTCTTCTTCTTCTTCTTCTTCGCCTTCCATTTCGTCAGAATTTCTCCCGCCGTCGTATTTAATATTTAAATGCAACGCATCTACGTCGTTCGCCGTTACGTAACGTTGATCAATCACGTTTGATGAAACCGTTGAAAATATCGAGATAACTTGCTTGCAAACAGAGAGAGAGAGAGAGAGAGAGAGGAAAAACGCGTGGTTTGTTAATTTAATAGCGATGATGCGATTCCACGAGGGACGAGGGAAGATTTAATCCTAGTTCGAATTAAATTTTATAATCGTATATTTCGGAGATGATAAAATTCTCATAAATTATTCCAAATTTTAAGGGATACTGTAGAAAAATATTCGAACGAATCACAATTGCGCGGATATATTGGATAACTATTCGAAATAAAGATCCACCGCGACGGAGGAACAAATTGAACTCGACGATTTCCTCGACTCGTTCAGTGAATTTTTTAGCTAGGTTAAAATGATTTTCACGTATAAATAAAGAAAATTTGTCGAATATTAAAGACTATATTATCGGTCTATCTAACAAAAATAATCTCGTTATTAACATAGAAATCAAACTCATCCCGAACTAATTTCATTCCACAAAACTGGAAAACATTGAAAATAATATTTCTCTCGCCACGAATGCAGCTCGATCTAATTTCAGATATAAAAATATCTCGATAATATATCATAAGATATTATAAACGTAAAGATTTTACGAATCCATTCACGGATCGATACTTAAATAAATATCGTATCTGCGTTGGAAACCAGTGAGATCGAATCGTGTATGCTCACCCGCCGAGAAGAATGTTAACGTTCCCGTGCAAATCGGTCTCGAAGTGGCTCGTCTTGCTTGCGGTCGTCGTCACGTTGTACGAAACGGCGTCCTCCTGGTGCCACGCGTTCGTCCCATTCCGCTCGTCCGAGGCGTCGTCCCCGCCCAGCATCGTCATCGTCAGTCGAAACGTCTCCCTGAAATCCATCGATTTTTTTCTTTCGAATATTAATACAACTCGGACGAAGGCAAAGCTTCAATTTTTTTTGAAGCGCTTTGATAAACGGTCACTTCGTTCGAAATTTTTATTTTCCACTTTGGGCGTTCTGTTGACTAATTTTGAATGTTTAAAATGAAATTATTTTAGATCTATCTCGTTCAGACATTTATTACATACTATTAATAGCAAGAGAGTTATAATTTCAAAATCGTAAAAATTATTTTCATTTATCAATTATTAATAATATAATAATAATCATTTTAATATTGGAAGTTGAAATATTTTCGAATACTACTGTTTGTAATTTTATTCAACATTTTTAACTAGTTACTTTTTTGAGTTAATGCCTTCGCGCGGAGAGATGCTAGGATCGCTTATCAGGCGTATTTGTTGAAACTGTATACCAATAAAAAACCTATAATTCGAATATTTCGAAATCGTAAAAATTATTATTTCACGAAGTATTAAGGATAATTAACCGAGATTGGAAGTTGAAATATTTTCCAAACTATAGTATTTACCTATTGATCACTATCTTAACGAAATTACATAAATTAAACTATTATTACGAATCGTATATGTGAGAGAATAAAAAAATTTCTATATCATACATCGACATCGTTAGAATGTCATTCTGAATGGATGCTGATCAATCACTCATCGAGGTTTGGATGCAGACGGGGAAAATTGAATAGTTGAACGTAAGAACAAAGTTGCTTGGATAATTTATCGTTCGCATAATAATAATAATTGCAAATGATGTCCAAGGAAAAGCGGATCAATTATAATTGAATTACGGACAAAAATATTATTTTAATACGTTAAGGATACGAAATTGCATTTACAGATTAAACTAAATCGTCACGAATTATATCTATACATATTATGAAAAAGAAACGTTAGAATAATTCTATGTCTCGTTTGGATACGGACAGTGATGGGGAAAATTTAATAATTGAACGTAAGAACAAAATTATTTGGTTAGAATAAAATTAAAATTAATATATTTAAATTATTTGAATTAATTTCAAATTAACTTTAATTGAAATTAAATAATGCTTGGATAATTTATCGCTATGCGGATCGACTAATAAAATTATTATTCAATCATTTTAATAAGTAATCACTTATAAAGCAACTTTATTTTCCTTATTTCCCCCCTTTCCTCCCCACGATTTTACGTGAATGGACGAAGATTAAAATCCGTAAAATCTTTGTCTTCTTTCCGACAAATATCCGTCTACAGCGCCAAATTTCGTCTCGAGTCTGGCGAGAAATTCGAATTTCCAAGAAAAAAAAAAGAAGAAGAAAAGAGAGAGAAGAGCGAAGATCAATCGAGAGCAGGAGGAAGGGGGAGGGAAAGGCACACGGAGGCCTTTGTGAAACGGTGTCGCGGTTTATCGATCACGCCCTTTGCGAGAAATTCCAGCTAAAAGCCACCCCTTCCTTAGTCTCGTGTACGAGTCTAAGGACGTTTTCCAAGAGCCACCGCGTGTTGCATTTCCATCGAATTTGCCCTCCTCTCGCATACCAATTTTAATTCCTTCCTTTTTTACCCTTTCGCCCCCCCCAACCTGTTGGTCCGCGTTCCATCGCGATATTTGGCAGCACACGCGTGCCGGCTCTCCTCGAGTCCAAATATTTTCGAACGAACGAAGAATGATTTTTAAAATAAATAAATAAATAACAAGGATAATAAGTTTCGATCGAGGATAATTTTAATACTCTCTCGGAAGAGTTTCGAGCGAGGTCACGTGTGGTTTTGGTTTTTCCGGATGGAAGGGAGGAATAATTTTTGAATCGAAAAAAAAAAGAAAAATAGAAAAAATAATAAAATAATATATATATATATATATTAAAATAATAATAAGTAAAATAGAAATTAAGCGAGTAAGTATAATAATATGGATAACTAGTTCGATGGTCGATCGAGGATAATTTTAATACTCTCTCGGAAGAGTTTCGAGCGAGGTCACGTGTAGCAAGTGCGCCAAACAAGAGTGCGTCGATTTCGAGAAGATGAGAGAGAAAAAGAATTGGAGGCCTCGTCCTTATCTTCGTAAATTTGAGAACATTATTCCCCCTACTTTCTTTCGTACGTGTATCCAATTAATTTTGACGCGATAATTTAATTACTCGAGCGTAATTGAAACGAATGTAATTGATTTAAGAGAGAAAAGATTCTTAAAAATCTAGCCTCGCTGTTTTCAGAACGAGAACGAATTTCTCGATCAGTATTTGCGGGATGAAAGAAAGGAACAAAGGAAAACTCGATGAAAGTTAATGGTCTGAAATAGGCTCGAGGGAGAGAAAAAAAAAAATAATAATAATACGCGTTCGTGACGAAAGAAATTAGCGTGAATGGAAGGTTTCGATTAAACGCTTCGAGGAATTTCACGTGGGAATTATAATACGTCCCAGTTTCATTTTATACCAATGAGGAATGATGATTGATCTTGCACATACGTAATTAACTCCTTGACACGATATTAAAAATAGCCACCAACAAATAACCGTGTCGTGTTTATCTTGCAAGATTTTCGAACCGGTCGTTAACTTCGTTTTCGTCTATATCGACGCAGTGAATTGAAAATTTACAGTGAATTGAATAATTTCTTCTAAATTCATATATATATATATATATATGAAATCGTAAAAAATTAACCGCACACGATGCGAAGATAAATATATTCGAGCGAACAGAGCTTCTTTATAGAATTCTTGCGCCATTTGTTTCGTCCTTCACGAGTATACACGATCGATTTTGTGTGGCGAGCCTACTCGATCGACGAAACTTTTAGCTTGAAACGGCGCCTGCCGACCTTTCTCTTTTTTCATAATATCGAATATAAAAACGTATGTATTTATTTTACGACGCTACTACGACGTGAAAAAGAAAAAAAAAAAAAAGACGAAGACAGATTATTACACCATTGATTCGAACGCCGTGTTGGCAAATACCGTCTCACCGATTAAACCGTCGCCGTTTAATTGTCGTTGCATCTGGGCCAATTATTTTTTCAACCGTCCGTTTTCGTTTTTTCTAGAAATCCAGACGGATAGATTCGTAGAACGGAAAGTGCAAGCCTTTCCTTCCAGTCCCGACAGACTGCTATTACTGCTTTATTAAAAATGCACCAGACCAAGAATAATTCAAACGTAACCTTCATCATTCAAATGACTTTACATAACTCATCTTACTCGATAAATTGAAACTGCGCACACGCACACGCACACGCGCGACCGCGTCGTATCGAACTCACTATTCCGACAATTAAAAAAGATGAAGTATTCAAACGAGTAATTGACTTCGTCAAAGTCAGCTTATATATACATTTCCCTTCCCCGCCTTCGTTTATTCCTCGATATATTCCCGAACGATATAACGACCGATTCATTTCTATATTTCTCCACGCGACGAAAACAACAACAACTTTTACCTCGCTCGAACCTTCCAACCACCACCAAAAGAAATTCTCTCCTTTCGTTCTTTCTCGAAAAACAAAACAAAACAAAACAAAGAAAAGAAAAGAGAAGAAAAGAGAAGAGAAATAGATGCCTTTATTCGGATGTTCGTTGGACAACCGTCACCACGAGATACAACTACTCGATCTCGAACCACCTCGATATGGAAACGCGGCATGGAAAACGTGCACGTACAAACGTTCCCTCGGTCTCCTTCGGTGTCGCCGCGTGCCACTTCCGTTCTCCATCGACGGCGACGGCGACGACGACGACGACGACGATGGATCGACGAGGGGAAAGAGGAGAGGGGGAGGGGAGGAAGAAGGAGAAAAAAGGACGGAGAAAGAGAAAGAGAGAAAGGTGGTGGCAGGAGGAAGGAGTCGATCCGCTCCCGCGACCGTTTCGTTTCAAACTATTCACGGTGGTCGCGTTATGCGCGTTGCCTGGCTACCAGCCGTGGTGACGCCGCCGGCGTGCGCACACCGCGCAGCGTCGCGGCGCCTCGCGCCGCAGGACGAGGCCTCCCCGACCATGCACGTGCCACTATCACGGACGTGATGTGCCGCTTTTCCCTTCTCTCCGTCCTCTTCTCGCTTACCGGAACCGACAATTCTCCCTCTCTTTCTCTCTCGGTCGGTTTGCTTTTCTTCACCTTGGGACCAATTTCGCGAATGAAAAAAGGAAAAATTGAACGGGATGAAATGTAATAGGGCGTGAAGGTGAAAGTTATTTGGAAAGTATGCGTTTCGATAGGTAATTTTGATTTTGATGAAAATTGTGCGTGCAATGGAGAGAGTTTCTTTTTCAATTTGCGATCGACGTTTTATTCACAATTTTTTAACACGATTTCGTTCGAAAATTTTTTTTTACAAACAGAGTGATCTGTGATAGTAGATTTTGATTGAGTCTTTCAGTAATATTTTTCTGAAGCAATGAATAAGAAAATTTTTCGAATACATTGGCGAGCCAGTATAATTTCGTGTAAAAACAGATTGGAACAAATAATGTGTCGAACGGGGTGTGAAGTGTTGTTTTAGTCGTTTAATTTTGATTTTAACGAAAGGATTTGTGCGTACTATGTGGAATAGATGAATCACTTTCTCACGGGATGAAAATGTTCGAATGGATTGGCGAGCAAAAAAACAGATTGGAACAATGTAATGTTCGAACAGAGTATGAAGTGCTATTTTTTAATTTTGATTTTAACAAAAGTACTCGAATTATTCTTTATGCGTTAGATTATAGATGAATCCCTCTCTTAAGGGATGATATCAATCCGATCGAAAGCGATCGACATTTCATTCAATTTTTAATACCAGTTTCGTTTGAGAATTTTTTTTACATATAATTTCGTGTAAAAATATACTGGAACACGTAATGCTCGAACAGAACACAAAGTTACCGTTTCGATCGGTTTAATTTTGATTTAATTTATTTTTTAATACATATTTATTTGAGAATTTATCGCAACAGAGCGATTAATAATATTTCTCTATAAGCAATAAAATGTTCGAACGGATTGGCGAGCCACTGTACACGTTGGAACACGTAATGTTTAAAACAGAGTACATAAGATAATCGAGCGTTATTATTTGTCGAGTAGAGATAGTTTCTTTTTTTAAAAAAAAAAGAAGCAGGGGCTGAAAACAGTCCTCTCCTTATTCCTTCTTTCCTTTCCTCTTATTCATATTCATATCTCATTCATATTTTAAATATGATAATCTCCATTAAAAGGAGAGAGAGATTGGATCGAGGCCTTTCTTAATCAGAGCAGGGACGACGTGTTATTTTCGTGGCGGAGGAAGACACGCCTTGGAAAGGGTCGTCAGACCTAATTGCACGAAAGCGTCGGTTCCCAACGGTGGTGAGTCACGTTTACGCGTGTCCAACCACGACTGGGGCCGTGTATCGGGATGGAACGAGTCCGTCTGCTTGAACAAAAAGCCTTTGTTCGTACACCGCCTCCTTTTTCGGCGTACACACACACACACACACATCTCGCATCCCTTTGTGCGCTAAAACGTCCCCGTTTTGTTGGCCAATTCAGAAGGAACTTGTGGCTTTAAGCGTTGAAAAAAGAAAGAAAGGAAGGGAAAGTAATTCGTTGTAAATATCGTGGAATTTTTAGAACGAGCGCATCGATCGCTGATTTTCATTAAATTGGCGTGTTTATCGCGCAAAGAAATATATTCTTTTCAGCCGCAGACCTCTTTGTTTCGTGATTAAAAAAGAATTTTAAATAGAGTTAAGTAAATGTTATATTTTTAGAAGGTATTTTTAAAGCATTATCTTACGTGAGAATTTAGTTGTGGAAAATCGTTTTAACGAGAAGTCGTTATATTCTAAAATCTTTTTTAAATTTTTTGAATATAATTTTGCCCGGCATGTGCATTCAAGAAAAAAACGAAAAACTTGGTTGATTTCATCTCCTCCTGTCAAAAAAGTGATATTTTGATTAAAAAAAATTATTATTCGTTAAGGATATTTCATCATGGTGAACAATAAAAGACAAGCGCCCGAGACACTTTTATTGCGACTTATTTTGTATTTTTAATTAATTAAAAACCGGATAAAGCATCGTAGCATAAAACTTTTGCCTGTCCTTCGAGTCGATTTACCACACCATACAGGTTATTCCAATCGATTCTCGGCAGTAGTTGTTCGAAAACTTAGCCTCTCGATACAGCAATAGCGAACGAGGCGACTCCCTCGCCTTTAGTAAAGGCGAAACTACGGAATAAGTCGGTTCTACCTCTGCATCCAGCCGATTCGATCGACACTGCTCGAAATGAACGTCTGCTACCTCTTATTCGATGCTTTCGTACGGATTCGCGTAGAAAGGTAAGGAAAAAAGAGAAAAGATTGTCTCGATTGATAAATCGTTCGTTTCTTCATCACTCAAATATCGTTTAAATGCGATTCACTGATTTGTGTGCTTCGTTCGCAGTAAATGAAAAATTGCCGCCAATTGTCCGCGAGTAATTATTCCTCTGCTCTCGTAGTGGGATCGCGATGTTGAGAAAGGAAAAAGAATTCTTGAACAAATAAAAAGATGTAGATATATCGGCTTAAAGTCATATCTATAAGCAGATAAGATTAGCAAATTCGATATCGTGTTTAATATTAAAAATCGATATTTTTTAGAATTTATATATTATATACGTGTATATACTGGAAACGAAGCCAATTCGAATCAGACTTTGTTCGAATAATATTGTGGCGCGTCCAGTTTTCATATCGCGGTTTTAATCGTAGGTTGAAAAAGAGGTTTTCTTTACATCGTTATTTTTACATCGAGTGTGTATGTAACATCTTTTATCTCTCTTATTTATTTATCAACACTTTTGATTCGATAAAATTAAAAATGAAATTTCATCATCTCTTGTCTGGTTTTCGCAGATTCGCAAGGATGGTTGGCAACGTGTCGAGCGGATGGATGAGGAAGATCCTCCTCTTCCTTGTTTTGATAACCGGGATCCTGCTGATCGCCATGTACGCGCATGCTCCGCCACTCGCCTCCCTTCAGCCGTTCTCGTCGCGACGGTGAGTAGTGCACCAGCGATACGACACGATCCACTCAGTCGATACACCACGCTATTATCGACCCTGTTACGACCTCGCCTCGAGACTCGAACATCGCCGTACGATCCTTCACTCTTGATCGCGCGATCCATCGCGTCTTACCTGATCCTGATCGATCATCACATACACGCTCGCTCGCTCGCTCGCGAATCCAATTGGAGAGGAAGAAGGAACGCGAGGTTCTTCGTTTTCTTCTCTCTCTCTCTCTCTCTCTCTCTCCCTCCCTCTCTCTTTCTCTCTGTTTTATCTTCCGTTCACCGCACACTTTTTCCTTATTTTTTCGATATTGGTCGTTTTATTGTTAACGAAAATCGATTCGATTGTTTTTTTTTACTCAAAGTGTGGAAATTTTACATCCCTATACCTATGTATATTTCTTACTCTTTGTTCGAATTCTTCCTATCTATCTTTCCTATACTCACACTCACGAGACTCGACGCCTCGTTATTTATTTAATCTTTGTTTATAATCTTTTGTTGCCGCATTCCGTTTCGTTCATTATCTTCCGCATCTCGGATTTGATCGACATCACAAAGACTGAAGGAGTTGCAACGAGGCTTGGTTACTTTCCTGGTCGGTAATGAAAGCACGAAGAGACCCGAAGAACGGCTCTACGAGTATCTGGAAGAGCCTAGGTAACGTCTTTCCCAACCGAGGGAGGAGGGATGATGGTTTCTACCTGCTGGGGAAAAAAGGAAGGAGGAAAAAGGGGAAAAAACGCTTTCTTTCTTTCTTTCTTTCTTTCTTTCGTTTTCACTTCCCTTTACTTCTTCCAGAAAGTTTGCTCTCCATCCGTCAAACGTCATCCGTTTTTAGTTTTTTTTCTTTTCTTTTCTTTTCTTTTCTTTCTCTCCTCTTTCCTCCAAGGATCGACCTGCAGTCGCGTATCCCAGTCGCTTCACTCGGCTGTTGTTTATGTCTGGCGGCACACATCACCCTCGTGTCTTCTTTGCATGTCCTCCTCCCTCCCCCCTCCCCCCTCCCCCTCCCTGCCCATTCTATTTAAATTGTCTGGCTTGACCTTTGCAACGATGATGTTTGTGCTCATCGATCTAGCGTAATTCTAATTTGTTTGTTTGTTTGTTTGTTTATTTATATTTAAGAAACAGTGAACAGCGAGGAATGTGCTCTGTTCGATGTTTACTCGTTAGGGAATGTAAATGTGTAACAATAATAATATTGTGGATATTTATAGTTTTTTTGATCGACGCAATAATCGTTGTTGTAACTCGAACGATTTCGTCCCTTTCCTTCCATTCGTTATCCACGATTCTTCGAAATTCGAGCATTTCTCTGTCTGGAAAAATCGATCGAGATTTTTCATTATTAAATTATTATTATTTTTCTTTCTCTGGTATTAGATAAATCGAAGAATTTGGAAGAATTCGAAAATGGTGGATAATCGAAAACCGTCATTCTGGAATGATTGTACGTATAATACTTTTTTTTTACAACCGCTTTCCCCCGCCACGTTCTCGCCATTTTCCAACCAGGAAATATATAAATAGATCCTCTTGATCGCTTGATCGTCCCTCATTCTCGTGCACACTTTCTTTCTATTAACCAGTTATCCAGTTAGAGTGAAAAGTCGCGGATAAAAAAATCGAATTGAAAAGGAAAAGCATCAACGATCCTATATTTATACGCGCCGAGCTTGAAAAATTGAAATAACTGCGCGTCGAGCTTGACACGCTTCTTTCGACTAACGGCAGATTTCTTGAACGGGGATTTATCTAATGCGCTCGATCGAATTATTATTAACATTATTCGCGAGTTATAATTTCCAATCTCCTCGTTTTGTATTATTTGCCAACATTTTGCATCCGTTACTAATTAACCGACCCATGGATTACAGTTAACGGAACTCCTCTTCGTTCGTTCGTTCCTTTTATTTTGGATTATATATCCATCTCTAACTTTAACTTCGAGCGACCTCTTCGCAGCATGTGCTCGAGAAAGATCGTCGCGTTCACGCCTCACAATTCGAGTTGCTTCGATGCTACGTTTCGAGAGAAAAATACGCGATAATCGCTCGTCGTATCGTGTAACAGGCGGCATCTTGTGCAGAACGATTATAGTCGACTATAGTAGCAGCGAAACGGAACGATCGTCCTTTTGTGTTTCGCTTGTTTCTGTGACTCGACACCTTTTCGGATTCTAATTTAAAATTGCAGGGAAAATTAATTTTCGTTCACAATCCTGAAATTCCTCTCTAACTAATTACTCTTCCCAACCGACGTTAATTATCGATCCTATCGAGTTTCCACCAGTTGAATGTTCGTTTGAAACGTTTATTTTTATTACACAGATGCTAATTCCTAACGACTTCTTCTCAATTCCATCCCTCCTTTTCACGCTCACTTTGTACACAGCTCGCTCTATCTCTCTCTCTCGTACTTGTGCTCTTCTCAAGATAACGCTACACATACGTTATACTTAATGTTCGTTTTATTACTTACGTGTCCATGTGTGTCGCATTAAAAAATTAACCGTTACACGATTCGTCCTCTCTCGTCTCCTATCCACAGCGGGTAACGAAAGTATTCGAATGTTTACATTTGCAATCTTCGATGAACGAAATATATACGTTAATGGAACTTGTTTAAGGACAATGAGAGATGTACAGTAGAAATCTCAAGGTTATGCGAAATTTGAAAATGATTCACCATATTTTGCAGCAATTGTATTACATTTATTATACAAACACGTACAGTTAGTATTACTTAACATTAATATTTCGTTGGACCATCTTTGGTGGTAATAATTTGTCTCAATCAATGTTCCGCACTGTGTACCGAATTTGATTTTGTAAAATTACAATCGATAGAATTCCATATTAAGCGTCTGCTTTGAAGATATTTGAAGTTTTGTTTGATTCTTACATAAATGATTGATACACCTCTCACTGTCTTAATTCTTTCGCGACTACGGCCGACTCTATAGTCGCTCTGCATAAAACGATGCCACTGACATACTACGAGCGATTATAATCGCTCTATTTACTATAGTCGCTCTGTTTAATATACTCGCTCTAACATATCGAGTATCTTTCTCTGGAAACGTAGCATCGATATTTTGTATTTATCATCAATTTTTTTCAACAGACAAAGCAACGATTTTTTTCACTGTTTTTGACGGAAACGTAACGAAAGGGTTCAAACGAGTTCCATTAACGCGTATATTTCGTTCATCAAAGATCAATAAACGTTCGAATTACTTTATATGCCGTATATGCTTCCGTCGATCTTCACTCTATAATACCTTTGGCCACGCTGTTTCACGCATCCGTGTGTCCACGAGTCTGACGCTTGATCGTTAATAAAGGGGGAGGATTAAAAGGTGGAGGGTAACGAAAAATGAAAAGAAAAATGAAAAGAAGAAGAAGAAGTCGTTAAAAGCCGTGCGACCCGCGATCCCGTCGGATCGCAGGACGTTTCAGAGCCCGTGGTCTTGGGTGTGCGTGGCCGGGAGGTGCGAGAGGAGGGCGGTGAGGTCGTCGAGGACCTCGTTGGCGAGTTGTATCGCGCTCTGCGGCGGGAACACGAGGCTCCTGTGGCCGAGGCCGACCGGAAACGTGGTGCTGGGCGAGGAGAGCGTGATCGTGCACCTGCAGCAAATCGAATTCGTCACGGTGAACACGAGCGATCAAGAGACGAGGAATCTGTTGGAGCACGCCAAGGACGTTTTCATCGGTGACGAATTTATTTTTTTACTACTTCTTTCTTTCTTCCTTCCCCTTTCTCGACGTGTGCCACGTGTGCGAATAACAAGTTCTTTCTCCTTTTTTTTTTTTTTCTTTTCCAAATTCCAAAGATTTGGACACCGTTTATTTCGAAAGGGGTGCAAAAGGTGTAAATTAATTGCGATCAGTGAGTCGATATGCAATTTGATTGTATAATAATTTAGGTTTGTAAATGGAGTTACATCATTTTCATAATTGGCTCATGATTGTAAAAATCATGTTTAATTTCAATTGTGAAAAATTAAAATATATTTTGCATTGATCCAATTTTCCTTGTAAACGATAACAAGAAATAAAATAGGAGTGGTATTTTTTATTTTGAATTGTTAATTGTATTTATATATCGTTAAAATTAACATAAGACATCGATATATATTTATTTATACGTGGCTTGAAATATTCATGATGCACAAAAGATATTTTTCGCATGTAATAGATCTGGCATCGCTGTACAAAGGCGCCAGAGCGATTCTTTTAATTCTGATAAATCTAACGTCTTAAATTCTGTGCTACGTAATTTCTTTCATTGACAGTTTTTAAAATATTAACTAGCTTAACAAATAAAAAGTTTACGCCAAATTAATCACAAATTATATCTCATTTTTTTTTTACGAAAATGAATTTTCAAAATAAACGGTCCATTTTATTGTTTCAGTCGGATATTTTTCTCGATCGAACGATCGTCGTCTTCCAAGTTAAAATTTCCAGCTTTAAATCTTTGTTACTACGTTCCTTAAGATACAGCAAACCGTTTCAGTAGCTTCAACGGCTGATCTCCTAAGCTTGGAATGCGAAAAGTAAGCAGTAATGCCATATCGCTCGAAATCGTTGCACAGGAAATTCTTAAAGACGAAAGAACGCTGTTTCGAGTGGCGCCACGATCGTAGAAAGAGAGAGGAAGGAACTTATTCGCACGCCTAATATAAATACACCTATATCTCGCTTGGATACGGCCTGGACACGTTTCGAAAAGTCAATTATTTTTATTATTAAAACAAATTCGATTGGATCTGGTTCGAATTTTTTAAGATAAAACAACGTAGTTTTTAGTTCATAAAGCATTCTTTTTGGCCGTAAATCGAGAAAGTGCCATTAATCCTTTGCGCTCTCAGGCACCGCTTGGATCGACGCGACGATATTTATTTATGTTCGATTTTTTTTTAAAATAAATTCCTAAGATCTTCGCGTATAAAATGATTAGATTTTTTTTTTTATCTGAAATTAGCTCGAACTGCATTTTCCGACGCTCAAAATGGATAGATGGAAATATGAAATAACGAAATTATCTCTATTCCTTAAGAAATTGAGGATAGAGGGAAGGAAAATAGAGATGTAAGAGAAGTAAGAATAATAAACCGACGATATATACTTTGATATTCGACAAATTTTCTTTCTTCATACGTAAAAAAAAAAAAAAAAATAATTGAAATGATTTCACGCGCGAACGAACGTGTAAAATTTTTTATATTTCAACCCTTTGCACCATTTACATTTATATTTAAATAAGATACAACGCAATTACATTATTAACTAATACAGGAGTAGTGCAGGGAGAAATTGAAATATAAAGAAATGGAATTAAACGGGAAAATAAATCGTCTCGTTAATTCCGAGTGAAAAAACCTTGAAAAAGGCCGTCGCCAAAGCCAAAACAACGCCTCTCCCCTCGTTACAACACCTCAACGTTGGTACAATTGGTTGCAGGGAACGTCAGGAGTTTGATAAAGACGCCGAACGCGAGAAGCAGGCCGGGCGTGGACGCGTTCGTGATATATTTATCGGCGGGCACGGGAGGGGCGAGCGGGCCCAGCCTTGACGTGGACGAGTGGTACACGGTGGACGTGGTGGGCAGGGGGAGGGGGCTGGAGGCTCGAGTGGTGGGGAGGAGCTACTTCGGGGCGAGGCACGGTTTGGAGACCCTCGGCCAGATGATCTGGTGGGACGAGAGCGCGGGGCGGGAGGGCGGGTTGCGGGTTCTTTCGAGGGCCTCGGTCGAGGACAAGCCCGCGTTCCCTTACAGAGGGTTGCTGATCGACACGGGCAGGCAATTCTTCCCTGTCGAGCGTTTGAAACGAGTGATCGACGGGATGGCGGCGTCCAAGTTGAACACGTTCCACTGGCACCTGTCCGACTCGCAGAGCTTCCCATTCGACTCGGCCCAGTTCCCGGAAATGGCGAGGTGGGGGGCGTACAGCGGGGACCAGATATACACGCCCGACGACGTCAAGGATCTGGCTGATTACGCGAGGATACGGGGAGTCCGGGTCCTCGTCGAGATCGACTCACCGGCGCACGCCGGCGCTGGCTGGCAGTGGGGTGAGTTGGGGATTGGACTCGTGGATTCCTCGTTTGTTATGATTATTTATCATTGAAAAGTAACGATGCCGATTTAGTCTCGTTGCCGATTCGAGTTCGTTGGATCTTGAAGGAAGATGTTTGGGATGATAATTTAAAGTGGACGAAGGAAAGCTTCTCTAATTCGTGAGATAATTGTTAGATTATTTATTATTGAAAAGTAACGATGCGTTTAGTCTCGTTGCCGATTTGAGCGTTGATTATCACTTATATAATGATATTGCTCGATTATTTAACAATGATTTAGTTGGATTTTGAAGGAAATGGAAGGATGTTTGGAGTGGTAATTTAAAGTGGATGAAGGAAAGCTTCTCTAATTCGTGAGATAATTGTTAGATTATTTATTATTGAAAAGTAACGATGCGTTTAGTCTCGTTGCCGATTTGAGTTCGTTGGATCTTGAAGGAAGATGTTTGGGATGATAATTTAAAGTGGACGAAGGAAAGCTTCTCTAATTCGTGAGATAATTGTTAGATTATTAAAAAGTAATACGTTCGATTTATTCTCTCGACGAACTTTGTATTGTTGTTGTCAATTTGAGCGTTGATTATCATTTACGAATTCATTGGATCTTGAAATGGAAAAGTATCTGGTTTGGGATGATAGTCTAAGGTGCGTTTCTAAATGCTGATAATTCAATTCGTGTTGAAGATTTAGATTCCGCGTGAAAAAGTTTTAAAAATGTGAGATTGTTGAAAAATCTTTTACTATTATTAATTTAAGTATGATCGAACAAGATTTCTCGTCAAATTCATTCGATCTTGGATCTTTCAATGCTTCAATGGTTCAACAAAAGCTTCTCTAATTCGTAGATTCCGTGAGAAAATTATTAATTTCTTTCAAATTCTTGTTATCAATTAAACGTTAATTATCAATAACAAACGATATTCAAATTCATGGATATTGAAGGAAATGGAAGGTTTGGATTGCATTTTTCAATGCAATCGATAGTTTAACAAAAGCTTCTTTAATTCGTAGATTCCGCGAGAAACTCGTTAGATTATTTAAAAAGATCATTTACAATAGAAACGAAAGAGTGTCTGGTTTAGGATGATAGTTTAGGATGACAGAATGCAATTTTTCAATCCTAAAAATAACTTTACAAGCCTCTCTAATTCAATGTGGAAAATTCCACTTGAAAAGTGTTACTTAAAAAATAATATCTCGTTTCTCCTGTTATCAATTTAATTATTATTAACGATATTGGCCGATGAAGCAAAACGAAAGATGTTTACTTTGAAATTGTAATGCAAAATTTTAATAATCCAAATTCATCGTATCTTTAAAAAAAAAAAAAAGAACGAAAAGACGTCCGATGATAATTTTCAACACTAACCTTCTCTAACTCGTAGCTCTAGCTTCCTCGCGAAAAGCGTTTAGATCGCTTGAAAAATAACACCTCGTTTCCCTATTCGTTTCGTCAATTTAAGCTCGTTAATTGTCGTCAACGAACAATATATATATATATATACATTCCTCACCGCGTGAAAAACGAGAGATCTCGTTCGATCCGAGAAAAAAAGCACCGTTCGAAAAATCCGCCGTTTAAACCCGGCTGAAAACTCGCGAAAAAGGAAAGAGAGTAGTGGTGTCGGCGCTCGTCCGCCGATTGATCTTGTCAATTTATTCAGGGACGGAGTACGGTTACGGGGAGCTGGCACTGTGCGTTGATCAGCAGCCATGGTCGTCGTATTGCGGGGAGCCGAATTGCGGCCAGTTGAATCCCATCAACGAGCACACGTATCGAATACTCGAGGGCCTGTACAAGGAGCTGCTCGAGCTGACCGAGATCCGGGACGTGGTGCACCTCGGCGGGGACGAGGTGAACCTCGACTGCTGGGCCCAGTACGGGAACATCACGGCAGCGATGCAGGCGCAGAACATGACCGACCACCACGCCATGTGGGCCGAGTTCGAGACGAAGATGCTGCACAGGCTGGTTAGGGCGAACCGCGACGAGACGCCCAAGGCCGTGATCCTGTGGAGCTCCCCGTTGACCAAGAGGCCCTACATCACCATGTACTTCGATCCCAAGATCCACGTGATCCAATCGTGGGGGGGCAGCAACTGGCCCGAGACGCCCGACCTTCTCGAGGACGGTTTCAGGGTGATCCTCTCCCACGTGGACACGTGGTACCTCGACTGCGGCTTCGGCAGGTGGAGGGAGACGGGGGAGGCCGCCTGCGGCGAGTACCGCACCTGGCAGACCGTCTACAACCACAGGCCGTGGAGGGACTACCCCCAGCAGCATTGGGGCCTAGTGTTGGGCGGGGAGGCGGCGATATGGAGCGAGCAGACGGGCGACGCGTCGTTGGGCCCTCGCCTCTGGCCCAGAGCCTCCGCCCTCGCCGAGAGATTATGGTGAGTGGGAGGATCGATCGATCGATCGATCGATAATCGTGAATAATTGAAAATTGTTCACAGGAGCGACACGCCGACCAACGGTTACTCGACCGACGAGAACGTGTACACGAGGCTGGCCGCGCACATGGAGCTTCTCACCAGCCGGGGATTGAAGACGGAGGCGATGTGGCCGCAGTGGTGTTCCCAGAACCCGGGCAAGTGTCTCTGACCGTTCCTCACCAACCCGTACACCTTCGACCGGAATTGCTGCACGCGTGGTCGAGCGGGGGAACGAGCCGAGGCGAGCTCGTCGTCGGGCCTTTCTTCGCTCGTCGAGCTGGCCCTCCCATTTTGAGGGAATGGAAAGAAAGAAAGGAAGGAAGAAAGAAATCGACGGAGGGATCGGTGAAACGAAACACCGATTCGAGGAGATCGAATTGAAAGGATGGAGGGAAAGGAAGAAAAGGAGATTCGCTTCGATTTCTCGTTTCTCTTGCCTGGGGATAACGATAAAATGAGTTTTGAGTTTTTCCTCACTTCCCCACGAAAAAAGGAAAAAAAAAAAAAAAAAGAAAAGAGTAGGCAAAAATATTTTATACTTTATTATACGCGACAGAGGTTACAGAAAGGTCGAAACGAACAAGGTCAATTGAAGAACGCGTAATAAATACACACACACACACACACACACACACACACGTAACACAAGAGCGCGATTTTATATTTGTATCGCGCGACGCCATAATACTTTTCGTTCAAAGTGCCTTTCCAATTGTAATTCTACTCGTGTTATTGTGAAACGACACCATTTATTGCAACACCATCGTGCGCGTTCCTATTTAAGGATCTCGATGAATCGTCGAGATCGTCCTGCGTCGTTGACGATAGATCGTTGTGGGGCGCACGATCGGAAAATCGTCGGTCGTCTATCGAATCTGTATCTGATAGTAGTCTCCTCCTACGTCGAAAAACCAAAAAGAAAAAATTCTGTCGAAACTTTTCGCTCGAGCGATATTCTTTTGATTATTTTTTTTTTTAATTTTAAGGAATGGGAAAAATTTGAATTTTCAATCATTCATTTTTTCTATTCTTCATTTCGGAAGAAATTCTTGTTCGATCGATGTTGCACACGAGGCGTGTATGCATTATATCGGCAGAAATTTTTTTTCACATTCTTCTTTTCGAAAGACTGTTGTGATGATACTTCCACCGAGAAGAAGAAATAACGAAATAGAAAACATTCCAATGGATGATAAACCGATGGTGAATATAATCAATCGACTCGACGGGGGAAAAAGGATCCAATCCTTTTTTTTTTTTTTTTCCTCGATTTTTTTTCCCCATCGAAGAAAATTTATCTTACTCGAAAGTGTCGGAAGTATCACTTTTCGTAACGCGACAAAGCGAAGCGTGGCCGTCATGAATGAAAATGACGCCATTCCGCGTAGGCTTCCCTCTTTAAACTGCCAGTTCTAGGTCCTACATAGAACTTGCTATAAAATTTGAAAAAAGAGAAAAAAAAAAAGAAAGAAAGAACGCAAGACCGTTGCTCTTCTTCGTAAAGAAAGACAGCATGGACAATTGAAAAGAGGAAATGTGCATGGAGCAAATGTTCAAGGAATTCCGTTCTTTGGCAGCGCGCGCATTATTCATATCCCTCGAAGCCAAAGAGATCATGATTGAGAAAATAAAAGAAAGAAAGAAAGAAAAAAAAAAAGACCATAAAGACACTTTGTACTATTACTACTACTACTACTACTACTACTATTACTACTACTACTACTACGCAAATAATACTCTCCTTGTTTGTAACGAGGATCACGAAGAAAAAAAAAAAACTCTGTTTAGATTATTTATAAGAAGAATGTTTCTCGAAACGACGAAAAGAAGAAAACGTCCGGATCAAAGGCCGAATTCGTTCGTTTCTTAATGAATTGTCTCTCGCGTATATTTGTGAAATCGTGTTAACGAGACGCGTCTCTCTCTCTCTCTCTCTCTCTCTCTTTCTCTCTCTCTACGTCTCGAGTAAAAGATAAAGAAAAATGGCCTATTGATATATATATATATAATAACCGTGGAAATTTTTGTAAATAACAGGATCATTCGCGTTAGAAGATTGATTGATTAATAATGTAGGATATAGTAGCGTAATCGAAGGATAAAGGAAAGGAGGAATGATGTATATGTACGTACTTACTAACGACTTACCAACATCGATGGCTGTAAGATAGAAGTGACTTTTAGAAGATCGGCGAGAATCATCCGCTCGGGTGATGTTTGTCGCGAGATACGAGAGGGAAAAGAAAGAAGAAAAAAGAAATGATAACTGTAAGAAAAGAAGAGAGAGAAAAGATTCGTGAAGGGGAGAGATGGAAAAGAACGATTATTTAAGAACGTAATATTGTAAAATTGTTTTGGATGGAAAATTTTTTTCTTTTTTTTTTTTTTTTTTTTTTTTNTTTTTTTTTTTTTTTACGGGATCGAAATCGAATCGCGGCGCGAATTCGATTTTCGCGCGCCGCGAACGATTTCTCGAGTTGATCCACGATGAGAGGAGATAACGCGATCTGTTGTTGTGAAGCGTGGTTGGTAGTAAGTTAACGTAAAAAAAAAAAAAAAGGAAAAAAAAAACACGAATTTTGAATACACGGGCTCCACGGGTTCTTTTTTTCGCCCCCATCGAGAATTTCTCCTCCCCCGTCCATTCTCTCCGTCCAGAATAAATAATAATAATAATAATAATAGTGAATAATACGAACATTTTATAACGATATATAATTTACGAGAAATTATTTTTTTGTAAGTCATTAAAGAGAGAAAAAAAATCGAACAATTATCGACTTCTTAATAATTTTTATTTTTACTTGGGCAAAAGAAGGAAGAAGAAAAAGAAAATGTAAGAATATCCTTTTCTACGTACACTTGGATGGACGTATTATTATTACTTTTTTTTTTTTTTTTTTTTTTTATTTAAATCGTTACTTCATATCCATTCTCTCTGTGCCTGATACAATTTCGATGATCGATCACTCCTCGCGGTGGTTCTATCTTATAATATTGATAGGATTATAGAACCATCATCGTTTTGACGATGGATGATGGATCGACGATGGATCGCCATGTTTAATCCATTTGCTTTATTGCGTTTATCTTGTAAATTGTATACAAGGTATCGACATCCCCCTCCGATAAATATAATTATTTTTCGTATAATAGAAAATATATTATCGTAGAATGCGTCCACCGCCATTGGAAAGAGAAGAAGGGATCGACAAATTACGATAAGAGAGTAGAAGACTCTCGGCCGACGCGTCGTCGACTCGTACTACTTACGATCTGCCCCCTCTCCCTCTCTCCATACCTAGTAGTGTACGCGTAGAAAGAAGAAGACCGAGGGTGAGGCGTCTGCAAACATATTTCCATACCCATCTAATCCACTGCCACTGGTCACTTCGATTTCAGATTTCAAAAGATTCGCATCACCTATTCAATTCGCCTCGTTCGATCGACATTCGACGTTTTCGAAAAATTTTTTCTTTTATCGAGTGCAGTATCGTGCGTATACAATTCGAGATGGCTTCGACCGAATTCGAGCCGAAAGTTACGATCGACGAGGCATCAATCGCGGAACATTTTTTGCTCGAGCAAAAACGAAAATGCATTGGATTGATGACGGAGTGTAAGTTCGTTCATTTTTCTTCATTCTGATAACAAAATACGTTCGAGTGAGAATTATAAATATCGACTTTTCCTTTCTTTCTTTTCTTTTCTTTTCTTTTTTAAACAGATCGAAACATCACGTCGCGAGATGCGTATTGCCCGCCGCACTTCGACGGAGTGCTTTGCTGGTCGTACGCCAAGGCCTCCAGCGTTGCCACTTTACCCTGTCCACCCAACACTGGCTCACCGCTAAACCAATTAGATGCCAGCTCCGCTCTAAACGCACCTGTCGCGACAACAGTGGCGACGAAAGCTTGCCTTTCGAACGGCCGGTGGTACGTGAATTCTGAAAATATTTGGCAGAGCAATTACAGCCTGTGCGAATTGTCCGACGAGTTCACCGATCGTCGTTACCTCGTCGATTTAGGACTCGGGATATTTCGATCACGGGATTACAAAAACATCGAATCTTTGTTAAACGTAAGAATTGAATTTTTAAAAGATCGTTTTCCTTTTCCCTTCAATCGACGCCTTAAATTGAACTTTCGTCAGAGATGGTTGCCTATCGTCAGGATCGTGTCCCAAATTGGATATTCCACGTCCTTCGCCATGTTGATCGTAGCGATGATCGTTTTCTCGTTGCTCAGGTATGCTTTCTTTCTTTTCTTCGTTTCTTCTTGATCCAATTAATTAATCCTTTTAGAAAACTGAGAAACCCAAGGAACAAATTGCACATGCACTTGTTCGCCTCGTTCATAATGAGAGCGTTTATGACACTGGTCAGAGATTGGATCTTCGTCGATGGTATCAGCCGAACCGTGGACGTGATCTACGTCGAGAATTATGCTTTTATCAAGCAACGAAACGTAGGCCGTGTTATTAAATAAAATTCGATGAAGAGAGAGAGAGAAAAAAGAACAATATCTAATATATATATATATATATATCTCGAGATAATCAGTTACAGATGATAATCTGCAAGGTGGTCACGAGCGGGTGGCAATACTTCATCGTGGCCAATTACTCTTGGATCCTGATGGAGGGTCTCTACTTGCACAATTTGATCGTTTGGGCGTTCTGCGCGGACAGCGAAGCGATCAATTTGTACGTCTTGATGGGATGGGGTAAGATCTCCTCCAGTCGATTACCTGTAATTCGTGATTAATCGAAATTGGCCAAGATACGTGAAAATTGAACTTGAATAATTCATCCAATGATTAAGGATTACCCGTTTTCGTGGTTCTACCTTGGATAATAATTCGCGCCATTGTCGAGGACACGCTTTGCTGGACCACTCACGGCAATCCTTCCCTGTTTCTCCTTATAAGGATTCCCATCATGATATCGAATTTGGTAAGTGATTCCTCCTCGTGCTCCTTCTCGTGAACGTGCGGTTGATCCAGCGAATAATCAAATGAACGTTATCAGTTCAACTTCCTACTGTTCCTCAACATAGTGCGCGTCCTGTTCGTTAAATTCAAAACGTCCGTGCATCTGCAACGAAAGAAAATGCAATACAGGTAAATTTGAAGAGAGGACTCCTTTCTCGAGATGATTGTAAAGTTTTGTTGTTGATTATTTTCTCTTCCAACACAGTAGGTGGGCCAAATCTACCCTGGTACTGGTCCCGCTATTTGGCGCTCATTACACTCTATTCCTGGCCTTTTCGTATCATAATGATAAACGCGTGGAACTCGTTTGGCTCTTCTTCGATCAGTTATTCGTCTCTTTTCAAGTAATTCGATTATCCTTAAAAAGAAGAAGATGGAAAACTTTTTTGAAAATGTGTGGATTCGGAGTAATTATTATATATCTCCAGGGTTCTTTCGTTGCTTTGCTTTATTGTTTGTTGAACGTCGAGGTGAGAACGGAAATTAAACGAGCGTGGAGAACAAGATGGTCGAGGAATGCGAATATTTTCGTGTCCACGTGTCGGGAGTCAAGAAGGAGGAAAGCTATTCGTCGCTACAGAAAATCGAACGATTACGATCATCTCACCAGTACCACTTTGAGAACTGCGTTGCAATCTGATAGAAGATCGAATGATTTTTGGCCAAATGCCTTAGAAATGGAGACAGGATAGAAAGAATTTTAAGAAAGAACGGTTTTATATGTGATAGATAATTACGTAGTTTTCTTTTTTTTTTTTTTCTAGAGAAACTTCAATTTTAACATCGTCAAAAATGTAATAAAGTATACAATTACGAAATATAAAATATTATCAACGATAAAATGTACCAGATTAAAATATACACGATCATTCTTATCGATAATGTATAAAACCAAGAGCATGTATGACAAGGAGAGGAAATAATGTGAGAAGGACGGAGATAGTGAAAATATTGAAATCAACGCCATCTTCAGAGTGCCGCAAATGAAACGCGCAAAGGAAGGATAGAAAATAGTATGAGAAGGATAGAGATAGAATAAGAATTGATCCTTAACGCCATCTCTCGAGCGCAAAGAACGATATGTTCGACGAATCATATTAACAAAATGCTCAAGAGATGGCGTTAAACACTGATTCTCGTTCTATCTCTATCCTTCTCATACTATCTTCTATCCTTTCTTCGTGTGTTTCATTTGCGGCACACCAGAGATGGCGCTGATTTCAATATTTTTACTATTTCCATCCTTCTCCCGTTATTTTCTCTCCTTGTTTATACCTTACCATTACCGCGAGAATAGAAACGAGAAATTCAAGAGACCTCTATTGAACATATTTTCATCTATCCTTTTTATAACGTATTTCTATATAAATTCTATATATAAATATTACGTAGAATTAATCTATTCTATCGCATCGTCCTTGATAAAATATCTTTTTCCTAATATTTTCATCATCGATCACTGCATAAAAAGTTAACAACATACTTTCACATACATATTTTGCATTTAATTTTGAAATTTTCCTCTCAAGAGACACGATTCTCGCGAAACTGTTCTTCTTTTCAAGCGGATTTTTTAAACGGGCAATCGAAGCTCGAATCGAAACAATGCATAAACAATTCTAAACATTCGATCTCGCAGAAAGAAGAGGGCGAGATGAACCCTTTTGTTGAAAGACCCTCTGAAAAGTCACGTGGCGGAAAGAGGCGTCGAAAAGGCAGGGGCGTTGAAAGCGTGAACTATCTCATGACACCAGCGAGCGAAAAAGAAATATTAATCGCGGTTCGCCTCATCTCGATTTTCGTCCCAACCATGCAATCTCCGACACGTGTACATTGCGTAACGTGTACATTATACATTATACATCGTCCTATGATTACTGCAAGTGGCGTTGCACCCTTTAACGCCCATCCCTAACCATTTTGTCCACAGCACAATTTGCGTGATTGCACCGTTCCGATCCTCCAAATATCTTTTCGTTAACCCAACCTAACCTAACCTAACCTAACCTAACCTATCATCGACACGAATTTCAACGAATAATCGTTCATTTCAACCTCGCCGATATTCCACCTCAAAAAACGCAAATATATATCGCACCTCCCCCCAAAAAATAGGGAAAAAAATACAAAAAAAGAAAAAGACGAAGCGAAGGAAGAAGTGTTAAACGTTCTTCCAAGCTTCGATTCCAACGATCAATTTTTACTTCTCTCCGAATATCAGAATGTGTAATATAATAATCACGAATGTAACGAATGTTTTGTTAGACGAAAGTCGCATGATCGATAAAACGGTCCACCCATTCGGTCCACCAGGCGTGGAAATGTTCCATGGTGTGGAACATTGATGGCGATGGCGGCCAGTTCGGGGCGGTCTCGATCCCTGTTTCCCGGTTTTCCATTGGAGGAACGGGCAAGGGGAAGATGCTGCTGAGGGGAGGAGAGAGAGAGAGAGAGAGAGAGCGAGGGAAGAGGGATGAACGAGGGGATGTTTCGAGGGAGGCGTGGTCCCGCGGACAACGAGATGATCCTTGAAATCGGCCCTCGGGGCGCATCCACGCGACACGGCATCTTATCAGAGACGTCGCCGATCTCGTGGTGTAATCGTACTCGCTCGGGTGAAAATTATTCTTTTCCCTCGTGAATATTTTTTTGGGGGGAAGAGTAAAAAGTAAAAAAGCAGGGCTAGGTTAATGGTTTTTATTTTTAATTTTGCGGTTGCAAATCGAGAGATGAATTGGTGGAAATTAACGGTGATGGCTCTTTGTCGAGATTGCACGATCTGGTGAAAAGTAAGTTTTTAAAAATTAATACGAAGAATTGCGTTATCGAATCGATCGAACGAATAATCCGTCGTTAAAGCGTGTTTTAAGAAAATAAAGAAGAAGCAAAGAGCAAAGAAAAAGATACTCCTTCTTTTAGAGCGAAAACAATTAATATTAAAATATCGAGGAGGGAAAATGAATCGTCTTGAAAAAGTGGATCGAAGTGGATGGAAGATGGAGGTCGTACGATGATTTTTTGGTGAGTATCTAAATTTCTTCGGGGAAAAAAAAAAAAACAAGATAAATTAAAAAAAGTTACGAATCGAACGCGAGACGAAATTGTAGCTCGAAAGGGGGAAAAAAGGTAGAGGCAAATAAAAGCGGGACGACGAAATCTGGCGAATTTTTTGAAATATTAAAAGAAAACGCGAGAACACGTCCATACGAATTGCCGGTTTACCATAAAAATCAGATCGAACGAGACCGAGGGTTGTTTCCGTGTGAATAATTAAAAAGGGGATGTGGTGTCGCAAACCAAGGAGAAACCGAAATTTTTTTGAATAATAGAAATAGCAGGTTTCGTCGGCTCCGCTCGAAATTTAAGACTCCCTCGAGACCGTCCAAACTATTTTCTTCTTTCGCACCTTCCTTCGTTCGTACAAATATCATCGTATGCAAACGATATTTCGCCTCGATTGATCCTTCACACGAGAGGTGATTAAAAACAAGGATCGATCATCCCCTTTTCGTCGATCATAATTCACGTTCGTCGAGTATAAATAAGTATAGTGAGACAAATATTTGGCTAACTTGTTACTCTCTTCCTCGGGAAAAACCCCTTTTACCACGAATCCCCTCGAGACTCGATTTTCTCTCGAAGGAACTCGATGTAGAAACAATTCAGAATTACAGGAATCGATAAATTATCCTTCGATTCTTTCGTTCGTAACGATTTCAATTTCAGCGATAATTAAAGGGATAAAAATGGACGGCCCTTTCGTTTCTCTTTCGTTTTCTTCAACGTTCCTTGTGACACTTGGTCTTGGCTGTGTCGAGCGGCGAGATTGAACGCGGAGGAGGAGGGGGGGAAGAAGGAAGGAAGAAATTATCTGTTCGTACGGGGGAATTTCTATTGATCGGCGAGAAAATGGCGAACGGTGGACACGGTGTGGTAGTGAACGGGGTTGGTGCACCTGGTGCCGGCACTCTTTCCAGGGAGGAAAGACGTCGACGCAGAAGAGCGACGCAAAAGTATCGAACTGCACACGCCACGAGGTAAAAATTATCTCTTATCTTTCGAAAAGGGGAAAAATATAATTAATTTTTCTTCTGTACGTTTTTTAAAATATTTTTATCATCCCTCGTTATATTAACAGTTTTAAATTATTTCCTCCTTTTGTCTTGCATATTTTTCAAATATTTATCATTTCTTGTTCATTCGATAAATTATTAAAGCGATTCAATATTTTGATTAATAATTAATTCCTTGATTTCTTTTTTTATCGAATTCTTTTTTAAATATTTATCATTCCTTGTCTCTTAAATATTTCGACTCGACAATTAACTCCTCCATCTTTTTCATCGAATTCCTTACTTTTAAAATAATATCGAATTGAACTAAAAAAAAAAAAA